TGTCTGGAGAGAGGGAAGTCTGGGCATCTTTGCTTAGACTGCTGCCCCCGCGACCCGGTCCCGGATAAGCAGAGGAAAATGGATGGATAGATTTTTATTCCAAACATAATTATATAAATGATAAATAAAACCCAAGAGAACAAAGCATGCGTGTCCAATCTCTGGCAAACTAATCAAATCAGGCAATCCTTGTTCGAAAAGGAGTAAGAAGAAGTTGAAATCTTTTCTAGTCCTACACCATTTTTATATTTCTCTGTGGACTTTATTGTTAAAAGAGAAAACAACTATCCATTACCTGTCTCAATCAGTCAGACTTCAAGGAAGAAAAATCAGTGGAATAAAGAAAAAACCCTATGTTAAACGTGAGCCCTGTCATGGTATACCGTAGGATTCTAACAGGCTCACTGTTAATTGCCAGCACCATGTAGATAACATCAAGTTGGCTACAACCACTAAAGAGACTTGTTTTTCTCTTTTCCAATGTTGCTTGCTCTCCCTGACGACATCATCAGGTTCACGGAGCTTTAGGGAGAACACAGAATTAACCAGGCAGCTGCTGCACACTTTGCTTTAATGCTTTAAAATCCAAGCTAACAAGCCAAAGTAGCTTGTTGGCTACTCAGGGGGCATGTGCAAAGAGAGGTTAGTTACTGTAGCTGTGTTTATTTACTGGTGCCTCTAGTTGGTTGGCTTAGAATTACTCTGGTACTGGTGTTACTTTTGCTAACAAAAGTGCACTTGCTAAATTTAGGAGCAGAGCAAACCTCTGAGGGCTTCACAGAACAGCTGTATTTATACTGAGATTGAATTACACACAGGTGGACTCTATTTACTAATTAGGTGACTTCTGAAGGCAATTGGTTGCACTGGTTTTATTTAGACAGAGTAAAAGGGGCTGAATACATATGCATGCCACACTTTTCAGATTTTTATTTGTAAAAAATCTTGAACACCATGTATCATTTTCCTTCCACTTCACAATTATGCGATACTTTGTATCACATGAAATCCCAATAAAATACATTTAAGTTTGTGGTTGTAATGTGACAAAATGTGGAAAAATTCAAGGGGTATGAATACTTCTGCAAGGCACTGTAAATCTAATTTACATGGAAGCAAAAGTAGGTGTTAGTGGTGTAACAGCAGATGGGGGACTGACATCTCTCAGGACGCAGTGCTGTAACACTATGGTTAGAGGACAGGCCAATATTAATGCTTCACCATCATCTGCTGTTCCCAGAGAGATGCAAGCTCACAGATTGTTTGGAGCTGCAGTGTTTCCTCCACATAATGTAGCAATGACATAAAAAAGTGCTTCTCTGGCGAAAACTGGACCATCTCCCCTCTCTGGTGCAGCAGAAGCAAACAAAAGGTAAACAGGGACAAGGCAGCCATACAGTAGGTCACACCGACATCGTCATGTCATCTCTATTATGCTACGGTTCATTAAGCCCATGTGTGCAATTATTAAGATGCCTTAAAATAACACTGCTCTAAATCAGTGACCATAGCAAAGGTGCACAAAGTGTGTTTATGTGTGCAATTCTCTTCAACCCAAATTTCAAAGTCAACCCACAATGACAACACAGCAGGAGGCACAGCCGAGAGCTTCACCTCTGCTGCATTACACTGAAGCAGCCAGACTGATAATCATGATAAAAATGGACATGATATAGGAACAAATGTCATGAATTACCAAAACAGGGAAAAGGTATAATGTGTTCATGGTGCCTGAAGACCAGGGAATTTGTTTAAGTTTGTTTGTATGGCTGTGTATTGGAGCCCATTGAATGAGATGCTCAAATTTAGGCTTTGGGACACACTCACCTGAACAGAACTTACATAAATTGCAACATTAGATACAAATGAAGTTTACTGACACTTTGGCTGAAGTCATTAAAACTTTTTTTTTTTTTTTTAACCACTCCACAAATGTCATGTTGACAAACTCAAATTTTGAGAAGTCACTTAGGACATGTACTTTATGCATGACACAATTTTTCCAACGGTTGTTTGCAGATTATTTCAGTTATAATTCAATATATCACAATTCCAGTGGGTCAGAAGTTTACATCCACTCAGTTGACTGGGCCTTTTAACAGCCTGGAAAATTCCAGATAATGATGTCATGGTTTTAGAAGCTTCTGATTGGCTAATTGACATCATCTGAGCCAATAGGAGGTGCAGCTGTGGATGTATTTTAAGGCCTACCTTCAAACTTAGCACCTCTTTGCTTGGCATCATGGGAAAATCAAAAGAAATCAGCCAAGACCTCAGAAAAAATATTGTGGACTTCCACAAGTCTGGTTCATCCTTGGGAGTAACATCTGAAGATGCCACATTCATCTGTAACAAACAATACTATGCAAGTATAAACACCATGGGACAACACAGCCATCACACCGTTCAGGAAGGAGATGAGTTCTGTCTCCTAGAGACTTTGGTCTGAAAACTACAACTCAATCCCAGAACAACAGTAAATGCCCCTGTAAAGACACTGGAGGAAAGTTACCAAAGTATCTGTATCCACAGTAAAACTAGTCCTGTATCGACACAACCTGAAAGGCTGGTCAGCAAGGAAGAAGCCACTGCTCCAAGATCGATACAGAAAAGGCAGACTACAGTTTGCAGCTGCACATGGGGACAAAGATCTGACTTTTGGTAGAAATGTCCTCTGGTCTGATGAAACAAAAATGGAACTGTTTGACCATAATGACCATCGTTATGTCTGGAGGAAAAAGGCTTGCAAGCTGACAAACACCATCCCAACTGTGAAGCACAGGGGTGGAAGCATCATGTTGTGGGGGGCTTTGCTGCAGGAGGGACTGGGGCACTTCATAAAATAGATGGCATCATGTAGAAGGAAGATTATCTGGATATATTGAAGCAACATCACAAGACATCAGCCAGGAAGTTAAAGCTTGGTCGTAAATGGGTCTTGTCCAAATGGACAATGACCCCAATCTGACTCCAAAAGTTGCGGCAAAATGACTTGAGGACAAAGTCAAGGTACCGGAGTGGCCATGACAAAGCCCTGACCTCAGTCCAATGGAACATTTTGGGCAGACCTGAAGAAGTGTGTGCGAGCAAGGAGGCCTCCAAACCTGACTCAATTCCATCAGTTTGTCAGGAGGAATGGGCCAAAATTCCAGCAGCTTATTGTAAGAAGCTTGTGGAAGGCATCCTGAAACGTTTGACCCAAGTTAAACAATTTAAAGGCAGTGCTACCAAATACTAACTGAGTGTATGTAAACTTCTGACCACTGAGAATGTGATGAAAGAAATGAAAACTGAAATAAATCTTTTTCTCTACTACTGTTCTGACATTTCACATTTTTAAAATAAAGCAGTGATCAGGGGTTATGGAAAAACTGACTTTAAATGTATTTGGCTAAGGTGTTGGGGAACGTCTGACTGCAGCTGTACATTCCTGTATAGGCTTCAGTTTTAGTATTATTTTAGTCTCAGATCTCATCTCTAAAGTCAGCTACCAAAGAGATGGTGGCCTGAACACTGCGAGTCTTTAAAAGGAGCTTTAAGGTAAGGTATGGCCCTTACACGAGAACAAGACTGGTCACAACGAGTGTAGTCATGAAGCAACTTAGGATGCGACATCCTGCCTTTTAGACCCAGTATGGGTCAAGTTCCAGAAATGCTAGCCCATACATTTCCTATGATGCAACTCAAAAGCTCCTTTCATTAGATCTAACCCGTCTCCTAAATGGCCACTTCTTCGAAACCTTACACCTAGTGTTGCTTTCGTCAACGAAAATTATGACTAAATATCGTCGTCAACGAACCTTTATCACGTGACGAAAGCGAGACGAGACGCAACGAAGATGCTGGTTGTGTGATGACTATAAATGTACAATGCAATATTGTTGACGAAAAAACGAGACTAAATGTGGTTCACAAAATAAAAACTATGCTAAAATGTCTCTTCATTTTCGTTGACCAAAACGAGATGAAAAGAAATGTTATAACCTTATTTCGTCTCGTTCAGTCGCGTTATTATTATTATTTTGCAGTATTTATTCCCGTGTCTCGCTTCAGGGGCCGCTTCAGGTCGCACTGCGCAGACGCAGGCGACGTCACTTCCTTAAGCCCCACTCGCGGCATTATTTAGAAGATGACAACAAACAAAGTTAAGTCTGACACAGAGAAAGGGATCGATGGCCGGCCAGCCGGGGTTCGTTTTTGGGAGAAAAAGAAGAAACGACATTTGGAAAAATTTTAATTACATAGAAGTGGAAAAGAAAACAGTGTGTTGTGGAAAAAGATGGGGAGAAATGTGACCACAAAATCACACAAAATGTGTATTGGATGTATTCTTGAGTCTATAAAAGGTAACAATAATATAATGTTTGAAATGGGTTTGGCTAAAAGAAACTTTTGGTTTTGTCTATACTACTAGGTACTATATTGACTGGGTTAAATAGAACTGCATTACTAAAAAAAGAGACAAATACAATTTTCATTGACTAAAACTAGACTAAATGTCATCAGTTTTCTGACTAAAATGCTCAGATTTTGTTGGCTGAAACTAGACTAGACTAAAAAAAGAGTATGAATGTGACTAAAACTAATAAAAACTAAAATGACAGCTTCACACAAAGACTAGACTAGAAAGTCACTTTCGGCTTTTCCCGTTTAGGGGTCGCCACAGCAAATCATCACACTGACAGAGGACATTACATAAGTGTTCTCTCTGGGTTTAAACTGTAAATAGAACCTTGTGCTTAAAGTTCCCCTTTAACAAAATTAAAACCAGAATGTAGAACTTGTATAGATGGGAAATCATCTACAGCAACAGTTTCACATGTTTTACAAAAATGTGTTTATTAACTGTGCAGCGGTCAAGGTGAAGCTTAACTTTAGTTAAAGATGGTGTTACAAGCTGATTAGCATTTTGGGCAGGCAGCACCTTTTTCCAAACCTTCACAAGCTTTTGAAATCTTTGAGAAGATTAAATGCCGTTTCTTATGAGAAAAGGAAATTAAATTCATTACATAAACTACCTGAAACATGAAACGCTAAAGGTAATCTGGTTTGAAGCTGTAGGACATAATGTATTTTAGAGCATTTTTAAATTGATATTTCCCCCTCTCAGCAGCTCCGTGCTGGTACTCCAGTGTGTTTTGATCCTTTAGGACGCTGTTGGATCTTACAACCTGGTGACAGCATTAAGGTTTACTGCTTATACTTTCTACTTAATAAAAAGAAATGCTTTACCCTAAACTTCTCAGTCTCCAGTTCTTGTGTGTCTGCCACCATACACACATGCACGTGTTTATGGTGACACGTGATTAAATATTCAGTTTCTTTTCAGAATAGGGCTGGAAATGATTTTATTTCCATGATATTTGTTCACCAAATGATTTTTTGGACAAAAATAGAACCAGAGAAATCAAAGCATGCACATGAGCTGCCCAAGTCCAACTGTGATCTTGTGGTAGGTTGTGGATATTGGTACTCGCATCTAAAAGACAATGTTTTTAGTCAAAGGCTATGGTTTTGCAAAAACTGGGGATCATGCAGGATAACTATATCCAAGACTGCAATTAGATTTCTCTTGAGACAACTTCTCATATGTTCATGTGTCTGGCTACAGCTGCGCTTGCGTGTGCAGTGTTCTGCTCGAAAAAAACAAAAACAAAAACCAGCCAAAAAATAAAAAAGAGAATACACCGTAGAATGTGGACCTGACCCTGGTTGACTGAAAGGGGACAGTGAGGTCTGTCCACATTTTCTCTTTCTCAGTTCTGTCACGGTACAGATTCTATGACACGTCAAACAGACACTCTTGCTCACTCCACAACTCCACCAGTTTCTTCTCCTTCGTAATGGTCCAATAGAACCGTGCGTTCCAAGGCTCAGAGTCAGAGTCTACATCATATTTACTCATAGATATATTATGTATTGACCACTGTTTCTGTGCCTGCTATGCTGCTTCCTGTTTGTTGCTGGAGAGAGCTCAGACTGAGTTAAAACAGCTCAGATCACCACCTTACACTAAATGATTGAGATGACACCAGGGCAACACGACTGTAACAAGACTCTTGATTTTATTCTTACGCTGGAAATTTGTATATGACTAGAAATTGCTTGAAAAGTCATTATGTAAGGCCGACATTGCACTGTCAGTCAAAGCACATCTAAAGCAGCTGGGTTAAGAGCTTAAGACAAAGGGATGTTATACTGCACAGATCAATGTGTGTAAAGTGTGTTGTTGACCTTGTGCTTACCTATGGCCAGAGTCATGACCTTCAGCTTGTTCCGCACCAGTTTGACCACCATGCTCTTCTGCAGTGGCGTGGAGCGGCAGCAGAGTACTGAACGGCAACTCCGTGCAATGGCCAGAAACTTATCCTCCAAACTCTTATCCAGGGCATAGGCCAAGGTACGCCCATCAATTACCAGGCCCAGACGGTGCACAGTGAAGGGAGTGGTGTGAAAGGATGAGGAGGACAATGGAGATGAAGAGGGATTAATCTCAAAGAGTGCAAAGTTTGTGTGGAATGTCTTGGTGGCTTGGTCTGAAGAGCTGCAGAGGAATTTGGCCTGGATGTAGTGTAAACTCTCCTCCAGCAACAACGCACACGCCTCCTAGTACAGAGACAAACACAGAGGGAGTTGCACTTCTGGATCAGAACACTGGGCTTTTAAAGTTGCTTGCCTTGCTTCACATCTGACAACCAGATGCTTAAACATTACAGAATTAAACATTATATGTCCACTTTTAATAAAGGTGGTGTTTTCAATGAGGAGAGTATATACAGATATACAACAAGTATACTGGTATTATGTTAAAGGTGTAGTTCAACCTCTGTACCACAGTCGGTGCTACTTTATCACCTAAACATTTTCCTAAAGCACTTTTTGAAGTCAATGTGACATTACAGGACCAACTTAATGTTAAAACAATCACCCTAACCCAAAGATGATTAGTACATTTTAAAACCTATCACAACTGTATTTAAGACATTTTAAGCCTTAAAATTCAGATTAATTGATTTTAGACTTTTCAAGAACCCGCAGTGACCCTGTTGGGAGTCTTGACGTTATACAGTTGCCAAGCAACCAGCGAAAACTCCCATAAGTCACCACTCCTTGCCAAAGAAAAAGTCAGACATACTTTACACGGATTTGGCTCAAGGTATTGTTTTGGTACCACTCAACATCACAAAGAAAAACCATGGACATCCGGAGAGCTGATGTGATGCCACCACAACTCGATCACCCCCTTGTGGCCGGCTGCAGTATAGGTCAACAATCCCCCTCCTCATCCATGTTAGTGGGTGGGACACGATTCAAGCTAAAACTCAAATATCAAATCAAATTTTCCTAGAGGTGATTTCTGTCATTTTAGGTAGATATTTTCATGTTGGTGTGTGTACAAGTCGTCATTCTTCTGGAAAGTCGAAAGTTATTTGATCATGTAAAAATGGGTGTATTTCGGATGACTTGACAACTTCAGTTGGTGGCCTGATGCTGCCTCTCCACTTCTCATCGCTACTGTGCAGAATCTGGTTGCAAGGAAGCAAAATTGCAGCCGCCGTAGTCATTCATTTGATCTTCAATGCAACATAAAAAGTTGAATGATTCCTTAAATAATATACACATTTAACTATGAGGGAAAAACAGACACATATTTATAATTGTTTTTACCAATATGACATATTTTAGCTGCCACACTAGAGGCAAATTTTTCATGCATTTTCATTCGCATGGCAATATTCTTCGCTCCAAGGTCAATTTTTCCAACTTCCTACAGTGTGCCATGCATGGTGTCAAGGCCTTTCTGTCTATCCACACAGGTCTATATAATGATGCATCTGATTTAGTGAGTAGAAACACGCATTACTATTTTTTTTTAAGAATCAACCTAACATGAACTGTGCTCCTGGTGCATCTGTTGCCAAATGCTCACCATGCTTCAGTACCAGATATAATAACTCACGCATTAAAGCATTAAGAAATTCGTAATTTTAAAGTAGTATAGCAGTAGCAGATACAGCTAATTGTTGTTCATTGGGCTCCCTCAAATTGCTCCTCTGCCTCTTCACACGAAGTGTCCGTTACCTGAGCCAACAGGCTCAAGCTGTCCAGAGGTAGCTGTGGTAAAGCTTCAATACCTAAACCAAGCAGGGAAACTCTCCATGTCCTCATCTTTGTGTCAGGATAGGATCCACCCAAAATTTCCGTTTTACTAATTTTATGTAGTAAAATCACCACTAGGTCATAATTGACTCCATTCTTTTTCATTTAGCCAGATTTATGTTTTATAGCCCAAAACATATATTTGCATCATGTTTGATGTGAATGTATGTGTTGCATTTTATTTGCCTCTGAAAAATTTGCCATCTGTATAAATTATTTGTGCTGCTCCCGGTGTTAAAAACCCGTACGTGACAAGACACATTTTGTGTTCAGTGTAGTAGGGCAGAGTCAGTGAAATTCTGGTTGCTGCTGCTCACCTGAGAATCAGCATTCAATGTCAGGATCTCCTCCTCAGGGTCCAGCAGTTTGCAGGCATATGCTATATTTACAGCCGTTTCCTGTTTGTCACCTGTCAGCACCCATATCTGCAAGCCTGCTTTCCTCAGGGAGGCTATAGTTTCAGGAACACCGTCTTGTAGCCGGTCTTCAATGCCTGTTGCTCCTGTAGGTGAAGATGCTTGACTGTGACACTCCAACATTAATATTATATGCTAATTTACAAAAAAAGGTGTAACATTAAAACTAAAATTCTAGTAGGAACATGGCATCTTCTTGGGAGGCCTAGAGCTAAATAAAGTGTGACAATGACCTAAAAGGTGCAGGTTTGTCTCCAGTCTTAGAGCCGACTCAAAGAGCAGCTGCTCTCTTCCCTGGATGGACGTCTCAGCCTCCAGGTGATGCTGCAGCCAGCAGGCGTATTCCTCCTTGCTCAGAATCTGGCACATAAACACAAACAATCATATGTTAAAGTATTAGGGCAAAATTTAAGAAGGGAGCAGCTTCTCCTCTGGTGCCTACAAGGCAGAGGAGGATCCATGGGAGAATGTGAGACCCTGAGAAGGTGTTTTATCACGCTGCCTTGGTGATGGGCTTTGCACAGGCAGAGATAAAATGAGCTCGGCCTGTGAAAGCATAAATTAACAGCCTGCGAAAGTGGCACAGATTGCGGCTGAGTCATGAAGAATGTCACTTTGGAAGGGTTGGCCCATGTGATTGTCTGCTGTGGGCTAAAAACAAGCCGCCAAACAGCCACTGAGACACATCATCTCCACGTTCTGAAGCAGTTTAATGAGAGAGGGCTTCTGTTCAGCACTTCTTGGTAGATTTATTGATCCCTGGTACCTTTTTTGCAATGCACAGCGTACGAAGGCCATCTGCAGCATACAGGTTCAGGTAGCTCTGGGTCCTGAAGACAATCTTTTTCTGGCGTTTCCCTTTGGCGTTACCTTAAAAATAGTAAAGGTAAGAAGAGTGAAGATGAAATGTCCTTAATTTTAGGGAATACATATAAGTAATGCAAGCATTTTGGTTCCAGATTGCCAACAACTTCTTCCAAGAGGCAGATAAAAGCCATCTGTCTTCACATTTAAATTAACCATGTACACTGCACTGCAAGATATTTCACCAAGACTTTAAAATATTCAGGCTGTCTGGGCTAGATTGAAAAAAGGTGATCTGTTATCTCCAGTTACAAACATCATTTACCTACTTCACATTGTAAATGATTTTAAGAGCACAGAATATTGTTATTTTAGATGTTTCAAGTCTCAGGTTTTGCAATAGAGTCTTGCTTAAGAGTTTCTCTGGCGCAGCATGTTGGCCATTTCTCTGGCAGGGGGACAGCGTACAAACAGATTGGCTGTATCGGTCTCTTGACACAGATGTACCAGCCAACACACTGATCGCCAGCCATGTAATCTCACTGATAACACAACAGCTTGGCAGGCACTGCAGCACATGCACCGCCACGCAAAAGTATTTTTACTGAGAGGAATGAATTAACACTGTCAGTAATCTAAGAATTCAAACACAAACATGGGGCTTTTTAACATTTTTACCATGATAAATGATAGTCAACTAAAGCAGACTTATGGTTGTCTCAGATTAAAGTTATACAGCAGCCTCATCTTTCTCACTTATGAGAGAAAAACATTTTCCTCTTTGGTAAAAAAAAACTAACAAACAAACAAACAAAAACATAAGAACAGCATGAGTTTTCAGATTTTATTTTTTGACAGCACACAAGTAGAACTGAGCAGCGTATATTTTTCCTGCCTCTGAAAATGGGAAAATCTACCAAAAAATACGACTTGTAACCTGTATGTTAAATTACCCTGAAGAGTAACACTTTGTGTGGCTCCCCATTCTGCATGTGCACGAGGACACCTGCAGCAAGTGGTTTCACTCTATTTCACTGACACACAGAAACGTAATACAACAACAAAGGCAGAGTAGAAAACCTCAAAGACAAAGGATACACAGAAGGTATCTTGGTGAGTAAAAATGTAAACAAAGTTTGTTTACATAAAACCTTAACAGGGCATTTTTTTGGAACCTTTAAACTTTTTTGATATGGCTAATGTGTTTGCAAAAAGTTGCCTATTTACACATCCAGCAGACAGGGGACAGCATTACCTTTCATTTGGAGTTGTGCTTCTGTTCATCTGATGAATGCAAGTCCAACATTCACTCTGTTAGTTCTGTTTTGGTTTACTTTAACTCCTCAGGGATATTCTCTATCAGTTAGCTGCTAAATGTTCCACGCCGTTCACCAACAAGATGGAAGATGGTGCACAGCAGGTTTTTAAAAACAAAAAGATTTTTCACCACAACAGCTGCCTGCGGTGTCTGACAAACAACAGTCAGAGAGCAGCTAGAGTAGCCCAGGGAAAGTAAAAAGTTCTCTGTGGGTTCATCACCATGAGTGACCCCCTGAGCATCACATGTAGTTGTTCGATTAATGTTAATCACTCATTACAGCAGCTTTAATAATATGATTTTGTTCAGTTTGACAAATAAGTTGCAAATACAGGAGAGTCAAACATTTTTTAAATTAACTGTCATAGGGAGACTTTCTTTTAGTGAAAAAAATTTAACAGCATTAAAAGGTAAATTCTGTTTTAAGGTATAATTTGCTGTTCAACAGGAAACATCAGACAAAAACTCCAACTTCTAAGCCTCAAGGGTGTACAGTCTACCTCCATCACCTCCTTGTGCTGTGTTACTGGAGTGACACTGAACAACTCCCTCGTCGACCTGAATAGAGCTATTATGAAGGTCTGTGTTATGAGGAGGCCCAACTCGTACTGCATTTTGATTGGCTGGTTTGATCCAGTGGTAAAACAAAGTAGTGAGTTGTCTGTGTAAAGAAAGACCCTCCCAGCCATTAAAGCTGTTGAATTAAGACATGTTGGAAGAGGGGTGTGGGCGTGTGTGAGGACTGTCTCGACGGAGTGTCTCCACTCTGGTGAACAGCGGCACTCTATGAATTTTAAGTAAGTCAAAAGGTTCTGAAGATGGCATGCTGTGCCAGCTCAGACACTACTCTATAAAGGACATTAAAATGAACAATCAGCACAGCCATATACCTAAATGCAAAGGGACTAAAGTGACCCTTTTAATGGAAAACCAATATAATAAATCATATTGCAATCCCAATTTCCTCAAAAGGACTGCACATTAGCTGAAGAGCATGCTAAAAAAAGATGGGAGCAATTGCCTCCACTGATCTGTTGCAGTTAACAAGTCTTCATTCACCACAGGAGGATGATTTGGCTGGAACTTGTTTTTCTAAGTCGCTTTGTTGACAAGATCCACCTGCCTCTAATGAACAGGCGGGAGCCACTAACCAGACGTGAAATAAATGATTTACCATGCAACAGGACAGGTCAGCATGTTTTTATTGAGAGGAAATCAAGATAAGCTGCTGCGCAGGCTGACTAAGACCATCACAGCATAAATATCTGGAGTAAACATGGCCAGCTATTGAGGTGTTTACCCCCAACACTACACCCTGAAATTAAATCCAATCCATCCTTATTAAATCACTGCCACTGTGAAAAGAAAAGCTAGTTTCAGATATCTTAAAAGGAGCACTCATGACATTTAGTATTGCACTTCCATAAAACTGGGGGCATTAGAGACAAAAAGTCTAAATGATATCTTGACTTGTAGTCCCTGGTATGGGTCCCAAAACATGTTAACATACACGTCCTATAATGTGACTCAACATATTCGGTGGCCCCTATCTCCAAGGTAAATGCTCACTTTACAGGTATTTTTAACACCTGTAGTTGGTTCATTTAGCTCAGCCTACTGAGAAAAAAATATATACACTGCTGCCTGTTAATTGTGGTCTAGTTCATGTTCACACCTGTCTTTGTTCTTAAACAATCCATGAGAGTACACTTGGACTGAAAGGTGATTCAGTGATTGGATAGTTTTGGTGACTGTCATCTTGTTGTACCAGTGCCTCACAGTCCCATATGGACAAAAAAACTGACATCAAGTCATACTGTACTTTACTAAACTGTATATCATAAACACTGACAAGGAGATTTTTAAAATCCACAATATTATGGGAGAGAGTTACTGTGCTTTCACTTACTTTTTTTTTTTTTACTGGGAAAATGCTTTGGTGCACTGCTAAATAGCTCATTAGCTTTCCATCTGCAGCACCTGAAACATCACAGAAATGCACCTCTGCTGTAATTTGACTTCTCTTTCTGATTTATCAGGGAAAATCCTCATGATCACGTCTTGATGACAATAGAAGTTACCATGGTTTCAAAATCATCTGTATAAAAACAGGCTGCATATTGCTTATAGAGATTGGGAGATCGCTTTCTTAAGCGTTCACAATGAGCAGATGAATTTATGAGTTTAGTCTTTGAATCTCACATATAGTATCTGCTCTCACACAATCTTGTGGCTGCTCTGCTTCGCTTTCACACCACAAACAAACTGCACCAGAATCAGTTTGACAGCAGATCGATGCCACCTAAAAAGAAAGGTCTCAGTCAGGCTGCTTAGCCCGCACCAGAGGTCAACAAAGCTTTCACACCCCCATAAAAAAACAGACAGGCAAACACAGTGCTGTTCGTTTTAACCAAACCAAACAGGTTAGGTGTGAAAGCTCTATGGATCAGTCTGAAGTCTCAAGGCCAATATTTATTTTCTCAGACTTCAGAAAGCTTCCTTCAGAGCCACAGAAGATGTCGAACAGTAAATAAAACTAACCTGTGACACATAAACTGAAGTTTATGAATAAAATGCCTCTTGCATGTGTGGCATTTTACAGAATAAATAAATTAATCAATTTAAAAAAACAAACAACTTAAATAAATGTTATTTCCAGTACAGCAAACTGCGTATTTATGTCGAGCCTTCAGTGTTAGGGCTGAAACAGGCCTTACTGAACAGCCCTACAGATGTCTGGTCATTGTGAAGAAAGCATTAATGGAAAGTGCCTGTGTAGCTCTTTGTGTGCCTGGAATACTAACAACTTAGTACACCTTTGCCATTAGGATGCTAACGAACGTAAAGTGAGGAAACTAAGGTTTTTGAGTTCATGGGGGAGAACACAAGGAAGCCCCGACTTTGGGCACTGAGCTCTGCAGTAGCGACCCACAACTTCTTACACATTTTACTGTACCTCATACTTTTACGTCAGTGGAAAGCATGAAAGTTTGGGATAGGAGTGGCTATGTGCTCTGTAAAGACAAAGACCACCACCCTGTGTAGGTGTCTCAGTCCACAGAGAGCAAACAGTATAATCACGGTTTTTCACATAACTTGAAGCAGCTACGACTGAAAACAATGCACCATTTTGGACTGACCATGGTGAAGTGAAGATACAGCACTCCATACCACAACACTATGTGGTACCATCTTAAAACCACGTTAAAGGCAGTGTATTAGTGTGCCACCTTGAAATTCACCTTTATGTTCTGATAAATTCTCGGCTGGACACAACAAACTGGATTTGTGTTCTCCTACCTGTGTCTGGAGGTTTGATGAGGTCCATGATGACAGAGTCTGCTCCTTTAGTGTACACTGTGATCTGATCTGTCAGCGGGTGTCTGACCACAACAGACATGCGCTTCCTAGTTGAGTCAAAGCCCAGAGTGTGCAGCAGCTCAAAGTTCAGCTTCCCCAGGTGTGGTAGCTCCACGGTCACCTGGTCAGGGAGGCGTCCGACCAGGGAGCACTTGTAGGCCCTGGCAGCGTAGACTAGCGCAGCCTCATCAGGTGACTCAGCCTCGTAGCGCAGTTCACCTTCCTCGGGGGTGCAGGCCTTCCCATCATAGCAGGGCAGGACGGTGCTGAAGGCATGATCCAGGCTTCCAGGATGCTCTTCATCCAGTTTGGTGAGGGTGCTGTCTGCAGAGGGGGAGGACAGCACACTGGAGCATCCCTTGTTGGAAGAAAGAGACTGGAGGAGCTGCTGCTGTTAGAGCCTGAGGTTAGTCGGCTAGGAGTAAAGCGCTTGATGAAGTCCTCAATGGTCTTGACTGGGGACTGACTGGGAACTTTAGCCCAAACCTCACCCGGACCTGGAAAACAAAAAAAAAAAAAAAAAAAAGACATCTGAATGAATGATTACAAACGTCTTTACTTCCTTTACTTCCTCATTAATACACCATGCCTCTGTTTCCACATAAGAATCAGCCTTAGAGGTTAGGACTATTAGGGGCTTCCTATCACTGGCTTTACATGGAGCAACTAACAACTCACTGAGTGGCGCAGTTGGTTAAAAAAATTTCATTCCTTCTTGGACACTAAGCTCAGTCAAAGCTAAACACACAGAAATGATACACACTTTTAGATTCAACTTGACTAACACTTTCATTATATCTGATGTCCACCACAAATATATGTCCATAAATCCACTGATAACTCTAGAACCTGCCTGAGAATCATTTTAAAGTCTTCCCCAGTATAAAGGTCATCCAGGGACAGTTGTCTGAACATACATGAATACACTACAAACAGTAACTGCTAATAGCCAAGTCATATTTTTAATAGTGTCAACTGAGTAAAATGTCAAAAAGGTTCTAAAAAACAAGGTTCAAGTTGTAGGCCACAGCATAACTCACATGGCTTGATTGTACTTTCCTGCTAAGGACTGCCAGGATAGTACAAAGTATGACAAAGAATAATGTGCTAAATCCATTAACATTATTTTTTTGTGTTGCACTACCATATATATATATATAGTCAAAACACTGGTTTATCGCACCTGAGTTCAATTTCTCTAGCCACACCCAGGCCTGATTACTGCCACACCTGTTCGCAATCAAGAAATCACTTAAATAGGACCTGCCTGACAAAGTGAAGTAGACCAAAAGATCCTCAAAAGCTAGACATCATGCCGAGATCCAAAGAAATTCAAAACCAAATGAGAAAGAGAATAATTGAGCTCTATCAGTTTGGAAAAGGTTATAAAGCCATTTCTAAAGCTTTGGGACTGCAGCGAACCACAGTGAGAGCCATTATCCACAAATGGCGAAAACATGGAACAGTGGAGAACCTTCCCAGGAGTGGCCGGCCGACCAAAATTACCCCAAGAGCGCAGCGACAACTCATCCAAGAGGTCACAAAAGACCCCACAACAACATCCAAAGAACTGCAGGCCTCACTTGCCTCAGTTAAGGTGAGTGTTCATGACTCCACCATAAGAAAGAGACTGGGCAAAAATGGTTTGCATGGCAGAGTTCCAAGACGAAAACCACTGCTGAGCAAAAAGAACATAAAGGCTCGTCTCAGTTTTGCCAGAAAACATCTTGATGATCCCCAAGACTTTTGGGATAATACTCTGTGGACAGACGAGACAAAAGTTGAACTTTTTGGAAGGTGTGTGTCCCATTATGTGTGGCGTAAAAGTAACACCGCATTTCAGAAAAAGAACATCATACCAACAGTAAAATATGGTGGTGGTAGTGTGATGGTCTGGGGCTGTTTTGCTGCTTCAGGCCCTGGAAGACATGCTGTGATAAGTGGAACCATGAATTCTGCTGTGTACCAAAATATCCTGGAGGAGAATGTCCGGCCATCCGTTTGTGACCTCAAGCTGAAGCGAACTTGGGTTCTGCAGCAGGACAATGATCCAAAGCACACCAGCAAGTCCACTTCTGAATGGCTGAAGAAAAACAAAATGAAGACTGGAGTGGCCTAGTCAACGTCATGACCTGAATCCAATTGAGATGCTGTGGCATGACCTTAAAAAGGCAGTTCATGCCCGAAATCCCTCCAATGTGGCTGACTTACAACCATTCTGCCAAGATGAGTGGGCCAAAATTCCTCCACAGCGCTGTAAAAGACTCATGGCAAGTTATCGAAAACGCTTGATTGCAGTTGTTGCTGCTAAGGGTGGCCCAACCAGTTATTAGGTTTAGGGGGCAAACACTTATTCACACAGGGCTATATAGTTTTGGATTTTGTTTTCCCTTAATAATAAAAACCTTCATTTAAAAACTGCATGATGTGTTTACTTGTGTTATCTTTGACTAATATATAAATTTGTTTGATGATCTGAAACATTACAGTGTGACAAACATGCAAAAAGATAAGAAATCAGTAAGGGGGCAAACACTTTTTCACACCACTGTATATATTTATTTTATTTTTTTACAGTACTAAGACTCATTGTCCCATCAAATAGCCCAATTTATTCTCAAGATAACTTTCAATCACTCATGTTAATGGGTGCAAGTTGGTTTAATAAACTTGTTGTGATGATTCCCATTTAAAAACTAAAGGCTATGGAAACTAAAAACCTTCACACATAAGGCTGTAGGTTAAGATCACTTAGTTTGATGCATTTATAAATAAATAAATACAATTTAAAAAAAAAAAAAAAATCCAGTAGCCTGTAGCTTTCGGCATCAAAATGCCAGAGTCATTTTCATTCAGGTGCTGGGTTAGCCGCAAGCACATCATAATAACAGTAAATAAAAATAAATCTGAACAGGTCTGTGCCTCTGGCTGGTAGGGCAGTGAGCTGGTGTTCAGTGTGTGGAGAGGAGAGGATATCAGCTCTGAACAGGGCGACCACACCCACACACAAAATGGATACACAAGTTGGATTGCACCGAGGAACATCAGAAGGACGCCGAGAGCTTTAGAAGTTTCTGCGATTTTAAGTGTTTTTATAGAAGTGCTCAAAATAACATGCAGCACTTTGAATTCTTTTTATCAAAAGTTATGAAGTACTCCCATGTTGTTAAAGAAACAAAAAACATGTGAGGTCAGCGAGGACACCCTGATTGACCCGGACTCCCTGGAAGAACAGATCTTTAATCTCAATGGGACCTTTCCTGGCATAAAATAAAGAGAAATAAATAAGATAAAAAGAGGGACCCTTGTGTTAGTTCGTAGGAAGGATATCAATAGAATTAGTCCCTACTGGATGCTCTACTGACAATCCTAAAATACCTCCCAGCTTTCTACATAATTATTCTTGTCTTACAGCCAAACTTATGAGCATGTCAGTCAGAAGACAGCTGTCCAAACATTACAAAGTACGAGACTCCAAACAAAAGCAACTTGACATTTTATTTTCTGCAGCTTTTTGTAACTTTGTGAGCATTCCAAAACCTGACGGTCACGATGCCAGTAAGTGCTGCGTGGGCGTGGTCTCCATTCCATTTAAATTCGGCACATGAAACAGCACATGCTGCTTGTGCCGACCTGAGGCCATGGAAAATTGTGGCACATCAACAAAACAACATGTGGAGTCCAGTAGAACGGTGAACAGCAGCCTGTTTGTGGTCAGAAAATATGGACACTACATCTCCCCAGTTGCCCACAGCTTTTTATTATGAATCAGAAACTCTGCAGAGAGGGTATTCATTGCTGTTCTAGACTGTGTAAAATCATGATTGGATTAAATAAAACCCACAGAATCACGCTTGACATCAAGATTGTGTCCTGGTGTCTGGGCTCTTTGGGGCAGTATTCGCTCGGTGGTACAGGCTGTTCACTTTGTGCTCAAAAGCAGAGACATCATGTTGCTTAATATGAAAGAATCACCTATTTTCTGGAAATACTATTATCAGCTGATGAAGATCAGCATCATACTGTATCACCACTTCTTGTGCTGACTGCAATCCATTTAAACAAGTTTCCCTGCCCTTGCAGCTACGTAGCAAGCGGCATGCTGGCACAGGTAAACCAAACACAGCCACTGTGCACTGGGACGATGCAGTTGTAGGACACCTCAGAAAGGTCCTGAATGTCATGGCTATCTATGTTGAGATATTACTGTCTGTGGTAAATCAGCTGAGCAACACTGCCATGCCACTAGTATGGTTTTAGTGAAGGCAAAACAGGACACAACACCACCACAAAGAGACATTAAACTCCCACCCAGAGACACAAAACCACCACAGCGATGTAAAAGAACAAGCACGTGTAATAAAGGCAAAAGAGTTCAACTGGGAGATTGACATGCAAGCTCCAAACGTATGATCAGTCTGATTTTGTTGAGGTGAGTTTTACCTTCTGCCTGGGCTGGTTGGGGGAGGACACCACCACAGTGTTGCAGATGGTGAGAGCAATGAAGAAATCAATGATGTCAGAGAGGTCAGAGGGCAGCTGGGACATGGACTGGCTGTGGAAGCGCATGAAGTCCATCTGATTGCTGCATTCGTTGACTTTATTTAGGAGCTGAGGATCGGGGGTGATATCTTTCTCCTGCAGGACACGAGAGGGTTTATCAGTGGAGAACAGACAGCACAGGGTACCAGGAGTACAGCGGGACAGTCAGGTGCACTGACCATGGGGCTGCTGAAGGCCGTGTGCTTGGAGAGGATGCTGGCTCGCTTGGCCTCTGCCCTGCTGCCCGTCCTGCGGTGGGACTTGGTGCTATGGGAGCGCAGCACCACCCGGGCGCTCTGATGGCTGCTCACACTGTCCCGCCTGGGTAAGGTGCCACCGTGAGACGTACACTCCTCTTCCTCAGAATCCATCTCCTGGTACATAGCAAGTCTTCTAGCTAGATTGCACACACCATTAGAAGTGATTTAAAAAGGCAATGACTACTTACTATTTTAGTAAGGGAGGGTGTGTGTGTGTGTGTTTACAGGCTTGTCTCACCATTGGCATCGTGTGAGTACTCCACCCCTGCGACAGTGCAGCGGCGAAACACCATCTTGTTCTCTGTCAGCGTGCCTGTCTTGTCAGAGAAGATGTACTGCATCTGGCCAAGATCCTCAGTGATGTTAAGAGCTCTGCACTGCAGGTGAGAGTCTGTCTCCTCATCGTATAGATCCATGTCCTGATGGATGAAGTACACTTGGCAGATTTTGACAATCTCAATCGACACAAAAAGGGAGATGGGTATCAGCACCTGGGAGAGGAGAGAGTGTTTATTAGAGAAGAGGTAGGTCACAGCGGTGCAGTGGTTTTTCCAGCCTGTTTCGTGCAACATTAACAGCAGTGATTTCCAACCAGTTTTCTTGGGCTACTGTATGTGGAACTATGTCAACTATTTTGAAAAAAAAACAAACAAAAAAAAAAAAAAACTAGAAATTTTGAATAAAAAAAATATTACACACACCTGGATAAAATAAACTGCAAAATACATGAAAACTAGCTACTGTAGCAAGTAAGCACAAGTTAAAATTAAATTCTTGAAACTGATATTTTAAAAGTAATGAATTAATGGCTAAAAATAATTAAACATGAAGCGGCTAAAAGTGATGAATGAATAATCAATGAAATATGTACAAGTAATCCATAAATGGTTTATATACATACAAACTGTTAAGAATAAGTAAAGAATAAATGCTGAAATGGCCAAAAGTAATGGTTAAAACAGGCAGCTAATTAAGCTGGCTAGTTAAGAATTACAGATTTACAGCTGGCTAAAGGTAATGGGTTAATATGTATAATGTCTGACAAAAAGACTAGGAACCACTTTTACAGATTTAACTTCTCTATATGTCCAAATGTTGCATAAAAATTGAGTTAGAGTTAAAGAAATTATATACAAGTGTCTTGGCACATGTTTGGTTAATACATTCATTGTAATCCAGAGTGGGTCATTTAAAGGCAACACAAATGGAGAGATGAGTCATAGCTTTTGGGAGGGCGGCTCAGCCTGTGCCCGAATGCCAACAGTCACGTGTTTATCTGAAATTTTATCAAACCGTGTCTGGAAATACTGTGGTAGGTCTACAGCCTCAAACAGTTTCTGTTTGTACAGCTATCATCACAGGCTTTTCATTGATTTCAAAACTAGCTGCAACATCTGACACAGAACAGCCTGACATTTTTGCTTGCAGGCAAACAACCAAACCAAATAAAACTAACTTCTTTTTTATTTTAATCTTGCATTACAAAGATTATTTTACAGCATGAAGCATGTGCTTTCTCATTGCTTTTCCAGATTATTGTGAAGATGAAGAGGTCTCACACACCCCAGGGAGCTAATAAACTGCTGTTTTGATTTGCAGCAGTACTTGTGTTTAATGTCAGTAATACTCCATGTCTTGCTTGTCCCTGTTTCGTACCTGAAAAACGATGATCATAGTGAGGAGGAGATAAATGGCTGACATGATGGGTGATAAGTCTGTCCCCTCTGGACTGAGAACGTCAAACACAGGTCTCTTATCTCCGTACTGAAACATCCACAGCCCATGACCTAGAACAGCAACACCACAAGGTCAACTCATCAAAACACTGAAGTGAGAAGATATAAATAAAAGCACAGTAAACTCAGTCCAAAAGGAGAACTACGTTTTCATGACTAATCTAAAGAAATGATCATTTTAAACTGACATTTATCACCTGGGCCACACAGACTTCCCACACCGCTGTTTATATAGTTCTTAAACTGTTACGCACCCACAGCCGCAAACAGGCACATGACCAGCAGGATGATGACACACCAGAACACATCTACATTCATCTGTCGCTCCAGTTTGCTGCGCTTATAGCGCGGGCCGTTATTGTTCAGCATGGCTTTAGTCTCGTGACCTGCGAAAATACGCAGTGTGTGAGCAGCAGCTGGTCACAAGTCAAATATGGAGTGCTGAACAAGACAGCATATTTATTTTGGGGGCTGACCTGCGTAAATGACTATTCCCACAGCCTCTTCTGTGTTACGGATGGTGCAGCCTCGCAGCAGCAGGTTTTCTTTGTAAAGTGCATCTCTCCTGCCGCTTCGATGGATTCTGTCAAAGGAGAAGAGGCATAAAAATGACCAAAGGGACAAACTAGGCAAAACGATCATGGTTATGTCTTTACACTCAGGTGAAAAATCCTGACACTAGAGCCCTCAAGACAACATCAGTTCACTCTGCTGAGCACCTCAATTGATCATGCTCCAGCATCGTGGTGTTCCCTCAGCAGAAGTCCTCATGTCAGCACAAATTCCCTCAGACATAGCGGCCCTGATCCTGCTGCTGCTCCACAGAAACCCCTCGGCCTCGGAGCGAATCAGACAGCGTGTCACGCTTATCCAGCGGGTAGATGTGACACAAAGACTAAACTCAGCTTTTAACCAGCCCACCAAGAAAGTCCAACCCCCTCTCACAAAATGCTTCTATAACTCAAAGTGTGATGTATGTTGAGCTATATTAACTGAGGGTCTATTGTGGGGAACAGCTGATCTTTAAATGTCAGCCTTAATCCCATTACCAAATCAAGGATTACAAGTACAATAGCATATAGGGGCAGTATTTAGTAATCTCTGTTGTAGCTTCTTTGAATGTCCCACAGCTGTCAGCATGTTTACTGTCAGCGTTGTTCATCCTTTGGCCTCTGACAGCAGGCTGACTGACACATCACCACCGATATAGATTAATACCAGTGTCCCTGAGCTTCAACACACAGCTTGTCCTAGTTCATAGCTCACTCTGTTCAAGAAATTGATAACACTCTGAGACGCAGAGTGCTTTCTCCACCAGAAAGGTAGTTACATTAGATTTTGTGCCACTGGCTATAAATGTAATAAAACACTGCTGAGACAAGCGCCCTCCCCCGCTCCCCCCTCAGCTCTGCTGCTGTGCCAGGGGCTCCACCGTAGCCAGGCAACTGAATACCTGCAGCATCTGGTCTCCTTCTGAGCAAAGAATAAATGTCATAATGATGTGAGTGCTGGTCAACCCAGCGGGTTTACTTTAAGCTCAGGGGATGTTTCTCATCTTGTGTCTCACACAAACGTGTCCAAGATGTCCCAGTAGGGAAACACCATGAAAAGACCATAAAGACATCCAGGTCTCTGAAAACTGACAATAGATAGGAGCTCACTAATACTAACAATCTGCATCTCATCAATAAACATAACTACCATATGCTGTTTGAATAGCTCTGAGGAACAGTCCTATTCACTTTTTTTTTTGCTGAGAGTTAGGTGAGAAAAATGACACTACTCTCACAATTGTCCGTCTTAAATTTAAAGATACAGCTAGCGGCCTGTTAGCTTAGCCTAGTATAAAGACTCTAGCACCTCTAAAATTCACCAACACATTATATCACATTTGTTAAAAACTGAATTCCATAAACAGCCATTTGTAGTTTTATGGCAAGGTGCATGCCCTACTAGTTCCTCACCAAGCACAGTGACTTCCTGAAGTCCAGTCATCACCAGGAGTTTGCTAGGCAACTAACACAGACTTCAAATTTATTTGCATATTTCCAAAAATGTCAAGCTATGAGATGGTTTAAAGCTAAATTACCAAAAAACATAAAGGTGACAATCACTTTGAAGAGTAACACATTACAATACAAGCATCAAATAACCAATTTCCCACTGCATTACTGCAAATGTATATAGTACAGATGGATGCCAGTTGGCATTCCAGGATTTAAAGCTGCAATCTGGTGATTTAATGTCAAAATCAAAGCAGAGGATGCTGAGATTCACTGATTTTTTTTTTGTCCCTAGCATGGCTACAGCATACTGCAATACTGCATTTCCCCTAATGCAACTGCATAAAATCTTTCATTACACAATATCAGAAAAATGCCAGTGTCTTGAAAGTCCACAACCCCCAGTTAGTGATCATGGCTGTTTTAAAAGATCTGTCTTCAAACCTGAGCCCGGAGATTTTCTCAGATTTGAAAAAAGCTCCTGCAGAACCGCAGAAGATATTACCCAACCTTTTACCCAGGGTGACTCAAAGCTGTTCAACTAATTTAACATTACCCATAAATGATACATACAGCAGAGTGAGGGCATGTTGTTGGCTTGCTCTTGTACAGGCCAGTTTCAGTAACCACGGTGCAAACAGTAACTGATGGTTCATTTGAATCTGGTTATACATCTTTAAATGTGCAAAACCCTGCCACCGCACACCAAGAAGGCAAATCCTAATCTTGACCTGGAAAAACGGTTTAAGTCCGAATTATAAGTTGGAAACTCTTGTCAACAAACCACAGCTTCACTTTATTTCCATTGTAACGTGCTGCATCACTCAAAATATTACTGCACTTAATTAACAGTGAAATGAAAATGAAATCTGAAACCTTGAAAACTGTCAGTTAACGTGATAAAGTTGAGCATCGTGGGTTCAAAGCAGATGTCGCACACAGACTGAACAAGGAAATACTCACATGTAGCCTCGGAATCTGTTCAGGTCATTGTTGGGCTTTTCACATTCAATGATGCTGTTGTACTTTAAGGGGTCAAAATCGCAATCCTGCAAACAAAAACACAAACAGCTGATTATTCAGGAAGTGGCCGCGACTCCTGACCAGAGCATTTTAAACTAAAAACAGATGGTAGCCTGTTCGGCTTTGCTGAACATACATTTGCCAAACAAAGTGCAGTAATGCCAATTAGATCTACCCTGTATGGCTCCTGTGAACTAACTTCTACATGTATATTTCACTTTTAACCCTCTTGGCATCACCTGAACTGTAGTTACAGAGGGTTTGCTGCTTTCCTCATGGGTCACTACACACATTATCTTTTTAATTTCTTTTTATGCATCTATAAAATGCAAAAAATGCCAAACCAGCAGTTAAAAATGCCAAACTGTTAAGGTACATGGATATGAAAATAAAGAAACAAATCCTTTTTAAATGCTACTTGATTTAGACAATAACCAGCATTTTCACTCAAATTCACACTTAACTGATTTCTGACTATTCTATTAAATGACAAATTTAAGCTCTACATAAAATGAATTACCATCATCAGACAGGGAAACAAAACCATTAGCTTTGAGCAGCAACTGGTGATAATAGCAAGGGTGCAACATAATTTCGAACATCCAGCATCGAAAACAGACAGCAGGTAAACTGACCAGTTCAAAGAAGCTGCGGACGACCTGCCTCTGCTTGAGGTTGGTCTCTCCATCCAGTGTGGCTGTCTCAATGTGGCACAGGCGGTCCGGGTCACTGGAGCTCAGCAGCAGAACGTCAGTGGGGAGGATCTCGTTACATCGCAGCCTGATGAAGTCTCCCACCCGCACCTCCTTCCAGTACTTCTCCACATAGCGCTTGTCCGCCCTACCAGAACAATAGGCAAACGAATGGCGTAAGCTGCAGAATGAAAGATTCAGACCTTTTGTTTTCAATAACTGCTGGCTATAAAAACTAATATTTTATGCATGAAGGAGGACAGCCTGCTTGTTGATGCCAAGGTTGCTGTGACCAACCCCCCAAATTTGTCTGAAATGAACACATTCCTTTCAACTTCTTTCTCAAAATGTTGATCAAAATTCTGCATTCAATTGCACACCGATCGATCAGCCACAACATTAAAACCACTGGCAGGTGAAGTAAATAACACCAACTCTCTTTACGCTGGCACCTGTCAAGGGTTGGGACATAGTAGGCAGCAAGTGAATAGTCAGTTTTTGAAGTTAAATAGTTGGAAGCAGGAAAAAATGGACAAGTATAAGGATCTAAGCAACTCTGATAAAGGCCAAACTGTGGTGGCTAGATGAGTGGGTTATTGCTTCTCCCAAACTGCAGGTCCTGTTGGGTGTTCCCCGTCTACAGTGGTTAGTACCTACCAAAAGTGGTCTAAGGAAGGACAGACAGTGAACTGGCAACAAGGTCATGGACGCCCGAGGCTCATTGGTGTGTGTGGGGAGCAAAGGCTAACCCGTCTGCTCTGATCCCACAGAAGAGCTACTGTAGCACAGACTGCTATAAAACCTAATGCTGGCTATGACAGACAGGTGTCAGAACACACAGTGGATCACAGCTTGCTGTGTATGGGGCTGCATAGGAGGCACGAAGGGGACCCACACGATATTAGGTAGATGGGTTGAACGTTGTGGCCGATTGGTGAATATATTCTATATTCTATTAAAAAAGAAAAAACAGGGAAAATGTAACTTTTTTAAATCACCAGCAATGTGAAACACTAATAATCATGTAGTAAACAGAGGTTAAATAAACAATTTGTAGAATACAGAATGAAATACCTGCACATAAGTTATATTTCTTTAATAAACGCGGTCTAACTGTAATTTACCCATTTCACTTACAGATTCTATGATGATTTTATTGCTGTGGTTTGTGAAGAAACAGCTACAACGACAAAGTAGCTCCAGTTGCAAAATGAAAATCAAACTGAGTGGAAACAACTACAACTATTCGAAGCATTTGGGTTTTTGTGATTTTAGCTTCTTTTCTCTGTTTTAGCCACAACTTTGGCTTTTTAAAACAGTGCAATTCATGTAAAGCAAGTGGTGAAACACTTGAAGGGTGAGCAGGTGGACAGAGTGGGTCTGAACCGGCCGTGGACAGAGGAGGCAGACAAACATGAGGGAGATGAGGCCACACAGGAGCACACCGTCTGGACCACACCATCTGATCGCCATGACACGGTCACATCTATGCAGGTAGCTATGACTAGCTAGTAGCCTATCAAGCTCGCTGAGGTTAACACATACCTGTGGTGTATGAAATTATTACTTCCCTGCAGGTTTACGCTCATTTAGCAGGTGTTTCGATAAACGACTCATTGTATTTTACTTGCCGAGGTTTTATTGCTCATACAGAACATATGGTTGTTAATTTGTTAGTTCAACTTTGGTTTCAGTCCAGCCTTTCTCCCCTGCAGCATCTCAGCTGCTGCTGGCTGTGTGTGTGTGTGTGTGTGTGTGTGGAGGAGCCGAGATCCGCCATCAGTGAAACGCCAGCACGGAGAGAAGGCGTTTGCTAATATTAACAAAACATACAACTTTCTCCAACTTTAAATACAACTGTAATATTATGATTTTCATGTGCTATACTATTACAATGGTGGCATTTAGGGCTTGGGGGCATGAGGTCGCACTTCACACAGATGGAACCGTGAACTCAGATCATGGACATTTGATTCACAGTTTTGGAATCAGAACCTTTACACCCCCAACCCCGACATTAATGGCTATCACCCAAATATATAAAAACATTCCTTTTCTTGAATTTTGCTACTGAAATGCATGTGGTGTCCGCCTGAAATCAGGCTTTATATAGCAGTGGACAAACAGATGGTGAACAGAATAAAATGTACACTGAGCAGATACAGACAAAATTTATTTTAGCTACTTTCCACTGCATGAAAGTGGATCCATATCCCAAGGACAATGAATAAACTCTCCAAAGCTGGAGCCAAGGATTGTTAAATAAGTGACCCACATGCACTTTTAAAGTTTGCTAGTGCAGGAAAAGTAGCCTCAAAGCAAAGTGTGACACATTTATACACAGACCTGCAGTATCAAAGCAAGAGGCCAACTAATCTAAGCGATATAGTGATGCTGCATGATCTAGCTACTAATCTACAGTGGCCCATTAGATAAATGATTATATGCTATTCAATCGATCAATCAGAAACTATTTTGATAATCAATTGTGTCACTGTACAAGCAAACATACTTCCTTCCTAACAATTCCTAGTTCCAGCTTCTCAGATGTGATTTTCTTGCTTTACTTTGTCATATTTAACAGAAAACTTAACGTCTTTGGGTTTCAGACAAAACACCTGAATGCAAAAATGAAGTAGGCTCCCATGTCCTAACATTTCCTATGTCAAGTTTTAATCAAGAAGCCACTGGTAAATAATAAAATCAAAAGTTTGCTTCAGCCTAGCCTTTCCAGGCAGCAGCTAAAACAGACAAAAAAACAATGCAAGCCAAAAATGTGGGGTTTCTGCCATCTCTAGTGAGGATCTGCTGCTCTTCCTTGTCTTTTACAGGTAAAATTAGGCTGCATTTTGTGTGTAAATCTACTGAGCACATTTTTTTGACACATTATTAAATGTGCATAGCTCACTATACCCGTAACGTACCAGCATAGCCTGCCTATGAATACCACGTCTGCTGAAAATGCCCCGAGCAATCTACCTATTGGAGATCTTTGTTTAAAAAAGTCACAGCTACTGCTAAGATTTGACTGTTGAGTGCCGAATATTCACAGCTATTCCATTAGTCATTATTTTTAGAGTCATATTGGAACCTACTTATTATTCTGCAACACAAAAATAGTACAAATAATGACTTCTGCATTACACTGGCAGTCAGAAGTCTGTCTTTCAGTGCTGCTTAAATGTGAAATTTATATTCCAATCTTAGTGCATGACTGAAGAATAACATCAGCAGTAAAACGATGGCCCTCACATTAATTATCCAGATATGGAAGAACACATCAGGTCAGATGCACAACATAAACTGTAAGTCAGTGACCTGGAGTCCAACTTGTTTCTGGATGTTGTAAAGCAGAAGTGTTTACATTCCAGCAAATACAAATGTACTTGTGTGAATGTGTGATTTCAGTGATTACTATGTCTGTGTCTTTAAAGTTGCTCCAAAACATTTAGGACGAATCCTCTGAAGTAAATCATGTCTGTTTCCATCAGCCTGACTGTAAATATTAGCATTTCTAAATTTACTAAGAAACTCCCCACATTGTAAATCCTGCTCTGCGCTGCCATGTAAAACCTCCCTGTGTGAAGAAGTGTATGAAGACTTGAGTTCACCTGCTGCCGTGACTTTTCCAAAGACAGAAAGTGACAGACATTTTTAAACCATGAAAAATAACAAGGCTGTCAGTGTAGATTTAGTCACGTCAGCTGTTGCCAGATTGAGAAGGGGATCTTTTGTACTGCCACAGAAGAAGAAAATTAAACAACGTCCAACTCTGACAGAACACCTCGGGTCAAGACTTAGTTAAAACTGTGGAGCTACTAAACACTGAGTCTTTTGATGACCATGAATTATGCTCTGTACATGGACGACAGTGCTGCTTTTCATTAGCAGAACCCTCTGCACACAGACTAAACAAAATAGTAGCAGAGAAAGCTTAGGGGACAGGTTGTCAGGTTGCATATTAATTCATTATTAATAATAGGAGCACTACTGCAACACCTGCATTATCAGAAAAGGCTTCACAGCTCTCTGACAAACATGTGGTCAGGGGCGTTGTGACAGAATGAAGGTTTCATGGATATCTGGACTTCACGTGTGATATCTATTCCTCATGTGTTAGCCAAGGCCTAAAAAGCATTACCCCGCCCTTCCTACACACACACACACACACACACATGATGCAAGTCTGACCTAGAGGCTGACACCTGGGCTCATGCATCAATGCAGGTTTGGATGGTCTCTCAAGTAAAGATCAATGCAGGTTTGGATGGTCTCTCAAGGAAAGAAAATGTACTTTGTGAACAATCTGCCCTGGTCAGATGATGTGGGAAGGCCAGTTTATGCAGATGCACTGATAGAAAAATGGTCAAACACCGGTTTCCAGCCACAGCTGGACACTGCTGGCTGCCAGTGTTAGGCCCAACTCACCTGCTGTAGACCAGACAATCCATATGATTGATTTCTTTATCCGACCGGTGTCTTCTGTAGTCCTCCCATAAGTCTTTGATGGCAGTGACGGACAAAATAAAAACTACAGGAGCCAAGGCAAGTTCTGGCTGAAACGCGTTGACAACTGGGACAAAATTAAGCAAAGCGATAAAAACAAAGTAAACATTGGCAAATCTATGAAACTGTTCAAAGAGATTCTTTGGCAGGAAAGACAGCACAGTGTATTTGGTCGTCTTAATCTTGTTGTTTGCATAGTGTCGGTTTGGGTTTTCCTCCCCTTTGGCGTGATCATACAGTATGTTTGCGTGGACAATCCTGGTTTTGTTCTCCTTGGTTTTCTTCTTTCTTTGCCTTTTGACTTTTGAAGCCTTGGCAATCCCGGCGTCTTCGCTCTCCCGCGCCATAGCCAGCCCTGCTTCAAACTTTCCCACAGTTTAGGTTTTCCTGTCCTCTCATACAAAGCGACATAAACTACAAACTATGTTATCATTCTTTTGTCGTGTGAAGAATGTTTTCGCCAGCCTTTACGTTGAGCCAAACCAAAATGTCCTTTCTATCCATGTCGGCTCCTCTCGTCGCGAGTCAGAAGAAAACTTTTACTTGTTTAGCGTCTCTCTTTTCCCCTTTTTCCTACAGCTGGGAAGGATGCTGAGATAGTAGGGAGGCTTCACTTGGACGTCCGACGGCTCGGCAGAAGATTTATAAATGGTGTGGATGGGCCTCCGCCAGCGGTCGCGTGCTGCTGCTACGTGTGTAAAGCAGCGGTTGCGCGCAAAGAAGGACGTTCGTCAGCGGGTCAGGGGTCGCACTCCTCTGGAAATCTGACCCAGGCCCCTCCTCGATTCAACCGGGGGGTTTTGGGACTCCAAGTGCCACGCGGTATTACTGGAGTTTACACTAGCCCACAGGAAGCAACCGAATATCAAACGTTAGTGTACAAAACTTCTTGTGCATATAAAACTATTTGGTGAAAGAGAGAAACTGAGTTATATACCCCTTATAAAAAGTACTTCGTCTTTTCATACTATTGTCTGTGAATCTCTCCCTGTATATATATATATATTGTAAATGGTCTTATACTTGTATAGCTCTTTTCTATGCTTTACAGTTCACTCAAAGCGCGTTCACGCTACTTGGCCATTCACACAACGGTGTTATCACGGGGAGCAACTGGGGGTTTAATGTTTTGCTCAAGGACATTTTGACTGGACAAGCCGGGAATCGAACCGTTGAGCCTCAGGTTAAAAAACGACCCGCTCTATCTCCTGAGCCACAGCCGCTCCCGATATATATCAGTATTATACAAAAAAATATAAGCACATCATTCTAAAACAGGATTTTATTTTACTATATTGTGTTTTATGGATTTTATGTAGATTATAGAGACAGGACAATATCGTCTCTGTATGCTTCCTAAACAGAGGTAGTGGTGGTAAACAGCTGCACATGGATGGATTACTGAACAGGGCAACCAAGCACAAGCTAAGGGGCCCAAGTGGTCCCTGATGCTCATCTCCAAAATATCCTAGAAGAGTCCCCCGAAAATGCTAAACATCCTCAGAGACGAAATGAAGCTAAACAACTGCAAGGAGATGCAAAGTGACTATAAAGACATGCAAGAAGATTTTAAAGTCAAAAAAGAAATGACCCTAAAAAGAAAAAGAAAACATGTCGGTTTCAGTCCCGGGTCCAGGTGGGGGGTTACATATCTGTGCCCAAGGACCCATTTAGTGTGTGTGCTATGTATTATACAATATTGTGTGAAGACCATCTAAAAAAAGTGAATGAACATGAGACTCAAAGCTCTGAAACATTAGCACCTCTGGAGAGAGACTGGACACTGCCAGCAGGCTCCCCAGAGGAGATAGATCAAAGGCCTCTCCCAGGGCAGTCTATAGCAATTTGCCATAGGCTCATCCAGATGTTTGGCTAAAAACTAGTGGCTGGCTATACATGGCAGCATGGTGGCATGGAGAGCAATTCAATTTCCCTATGATGAATGACTGGAGTGAGGTGGATCTGAGACTACAGGCCCACTGTGGCCTCAAAAGCTCAGCTTTTACACCGAGGAAACAGTAAAAACCAACTTAAATCAGGTTTGTGTTTCTCAGCTGTAAATAACATCATCCCTTGTTGTTGTTATGTGTCCAGTATTTATCAGAAAGTCACAAAAACTATTCACATGTGCCATTTTAAGGTGTTACAACAATGGTAGTGATGGAAAAAGCTAACATTTTAGTTCTGCTTTCTCCCACAAATGTCATTTTTGATCATTTCATTTTCCTTTGTCTCTCAACACATGTATACCTTACATTATTTGTACCATATGTGTCAAATCTACTTTTTGAAGTATTAATGTTTTCTGCCTCTGAACTGTTCCCTGTGAGTGGGTGACAGATTTCCCTTAATGTTCTGTGATTCAAGCTATAAAAATATCCCCAAAATACTGGATTATTTATTGTCTGTTTGTGAATATGGAGGCACAAAATGTTGGTAACACGTGGGTTTTTATGAATATAAAAACGTTTAGCATCTCCATGGTGACATGAAATAAAGTGATGGGAGGCTGACAATATTTCTCTCCTGTTTTAATGCTTGTTCACTTTCCCTCTGTGTTCACTTTGATTTCATCCTGGTTTCCTCCAATGAAACTGGACTGAGGTGGGCTGACATGATGCCCTTGAACATAAACTCACAGGTCACTACAATGGGTCACTTTATAGCATGCTACATCAACGTAGGGGTTGGGCCCCTCCAAAGAATCACAAGATAAATGTAATGGGTCATGAGATGGTTAATGGGAAACAAAAAAAGGAAAGAGCTGCACTGATTAGTAGATCAATTGATTAGCCAATTGAAAGAAAATTAATGGATTCATCTTTTAAGCAAAGATGGCAAATATTTAATGCTTACTCCTAGACTGAAGAATTTGCTATTTCCTTTTTATATTCAGCTGAATGTCTTTGGTTTTGGGGGGGCTGTTGGAAAAAACTTGATATCTGATGGTGATGATATCTGACCCTAGCCTAACAACAAAATAAACATTATGTAAATGAAACCATCTGAGAAATTTCTGTCTTTGGTGGAACTGGTAACATCTCATAGACAAATAGATCATGACAAGGAGCCCCAACCACATACTGCTATTTTGTGAGGGCTCACAAGCCAGATGGGTTGGTAACGTTTGTATTAAAAAGACTAGAAACTAAGGTAACAGCACTGACTATCAGTTTGAAACTAGAAACAAGCAGCTGTCTCCAGTTTGAACGGCATGTGTTTTACTGTCCCACCATGTACCTGAACTCCTCCACACGAGGACACTCATCACCAACTGTGATAAGTGTCATAATTACCACAGCTGCTAGAGCTCACCTAATTATACAGGGTGGGCCACAGAAAAGTAGCCTGTATACTCAAGAGCGTGGCACCGGTATTGGAGGCAAGCTACTTTTCTGTGGCCCACCCTGTAATATACATCAATAGTATGAACCTTCTGGCCTAGTAGGAGCAGCTGAAGAATACTAAGTATGGGTGTGATAACAACTGCTAACAGACATTTAATGGGAAGAATATTTGAAACAGCTGTAATGGAAATAATCAAGTGGAGAACAAGTGCCTCAAATCATTCTTAAGGACAGTACTTACCATAGTGAGGACTGTACAGGAGAAGGCCTGTACATGAAACACTGAGCAGATCGGAGGTTGAAGGCGACGCAGCTGCAGTTGATCCTCTGTCACAGACAGCAAACAACCTACCAGAAGAGGGCATGATACTCCAGTCAGTACAGTGCTTCACTATTCCCAGTGTAATGTCTGCAATACAGTATGTGTACAAGAGTGTGTGCTGGTAGATGTTATATCACAAATGTAATATTTCCACTCATGTTTTTTTAAATTATATTTTTGTTCTCCCAATTACGAAGTCTGTCTGATGACCATACTGTGAATTACAGACTGAATGTCAGGATTTTCTAAAAGGCTATTCATATCACTTTAAGTCAGGCAGGTTATGTGGTACAATTCATGTTTTTTCACTCATGGAACATTTGACATTTTGTACATGAATTATGTGAGTGGAAAGCCTGTGAAATCAATTTGTGCTTATACTGAGAACAGCATACTCCTGTTGCCTAGTGACTGTGAGATGTTTGGCACCTCTGAAGTGATCTGTAGGTGGTAAGACACCACGAGGAAGCCATAAATGTAAATGCAAAAAAAGATGCAGGATTACAGCAGTTCCAACTTGTTTTGTGTCTGATTATAAAACCATTCAACTTTTTGTAAAGTAAACCTGATCCATACTATCTGTCTAGCTGCTGTCCTAGTTGAATCTGAGTGTGAGGATATAGAACCAAATGAGCCTTGAATGAACTCATCCTACTTTTTCTAGAAAATGAAGGAAATATACAAACAAAATTTCCAACAGTTACTAGGATGTTCTTTTTATTCTCTAATGTGCCATTTTTATTGATTCCTTCTTTAAAAAAATCTGTCAGCATCAAAAAATATTAAGCCCAGTGTTACCAGCTCAATAAAACAGGTGATGTTAGACCGATAAGTGCAGACACGTGCACAGGTGGGAAGGTGTGAATAAGCAGGCTTCTCACCAAATGAAGATCACCTCATTCACCCTTTTTCATAGTGCAGTAGCCCTCTGATTTCCAGATGAGCCAGGAGTAAACCTACTGACTTGGGTGAAGTTGCAGATCAGTCTGTTGGAATGATGAACAGTGGCTTGAGGCCATTGTAACAAAGGTAATCCGTTACTGCAGATCCTATTTGTAACGCAGGAAAGATACACTTGTGCAGCAGAAACAGCATAGTAATGATTAAAATCCCTTACTTTTTAACTTCCTTATGCAGTGTTGAAGGATTCTGGTTCAGTCAAGTTCATACCATTTGCCAGTAAATGTTATAATAATGGAATGATGTAATGTACTGCATATGCGAACAAATGCAGACTGCATTATGTAGATCTTCAAACATTTTGAAATCTCTCACTTACAGTACACATCCCATAATTTGAATAAATGTTGCCATATAAGTTTGAATTAGCAGTAATTTACCCACCCAGCTCACTGTGCCTGCCCCCACCTACAGTGGATCACCAGCTTTCTGACAGGCAGGAAGCAGCAGGTGAGCTTGGGGAAAATCACATCCAGCTTCCAGTCAGTCAGTATAGGTGACCCCCGGGGATGTGTGCTCTCCCCCGCTGCTCTTTTCCCTCTACACCAATGACATATTTATTATTTTTTGGTGCCTTACAAAGAACACTGAGAGCCTCTGTACCAGAATCAAATTCCTTGTGTGCTTCAACATACTTAGCCAATAAAGATTATTCTGATTCTGATTTTATATTCAGCCATCTTGTTCTGTTCTATTCTCTGGGAATATGAGCTTGTTGCATAGAGCATGAATATTATAATTTAATATTTGATGTCTACAGATGGCCATTATTTGATATTTAATCTTCTTGATGAGACAGGATAGGACTAATATTGCATATTTGACACTATTAACATAGATTAAATATTACATTTGCAAACCCTTTATCATGTTTGCTGTCTAGGATTTTACCATGCTAACATTTAGCAAATTAACACTAGACACAAGGCAGTTAGTAGGTATTTAGTCAAAAACCAAAGAAAATGGCAATAAATGATGAGCCAGAGGATCACATAAGTTTCTGCAATTCATTCCGAAGGAAACATGAATGTGTGTACTACTGTAAATTTCATGGACATCCAGTGGTTGAGGCATTTTAATCTGAACCACACCACAAACATCAACATAGAGTTAAAAGTTAAGGATCATCAAA